GCACCTGTCTAAGGCGACATCACTGCATGTGGTCACCCCTGTATACGGCGAAATACACCTGTGTGGGGTCACCTGCTACTAAGGGCGATCACCCTGTGCTGGGGTCACTGTATGGCAGATCAACCTCAGGCTCCGTGGGCGTCAAACTGTCTGAACGCGTTCTCCTGTCTGACATGCACTATGGTGATAGCTCAACTCTGTGAAGGGTCACTGTCTGATCGTCCCCTGTGCTGTGACCTTGAGGGTGAGCCTATCGGGCGAGGAGATCACCTGTATGTCACCTGTGTCTGGCGTATCACGCTCGTGTAGAAGGAACCAGCATGAGGGGCCACCTGTGTGCCAGTTGCTTCCTTTGGGTCGGTTCACCCTGATGTGTGGCCCACCCTGTGCTATCACCTGTGGGCAGGCCCCGGCCTGCCTGCCATCACGCCGGCACGCCCCTCGGTCCTGCCGACTGCTAACAGGCGGCTCCTGGGGTCCCCCTCCCCTGACCTGTGACCCTCTTCTGCACCGGCCATCCCGGGAATTAAGGCGCCGGCTACCCGGTGGCCCTGGCCTCGCTGGTTCGGTGGGCGCCGCCCCTGCCCGCCTACAGGTGACCCACACAGGTGATCGCCGTACAGGTGACCCATACGGTAACTCACAGGTGCCCCCACTCAAGTAACCTCCAACAGGTGACCCATGCAAGTGACTCATACAGGTGACCCCATATAGGCGACCCTACAAGGGTCACCCACACAGGTAACTTCCCACAGGTGACCCTATACAAGTGCCCCATACAGGTGACCCCATAGAATGACCCTACAAAGGTGACCCACACAGGTAACCTCCCACAGGTGACCCACCCCATACAGCTGACCCATATAGGTAACTCACACAGGTGACCTCATACAGGTCACCCATACAGGTAATTCACACAGGTGTCTCCACACAAGAAACCGCCTACAGGTGAGCCACACAGGTGACCCACAGAGGTGACATCCCACAGGTGACCCTCACAGGTGACACACAGAGGTGACCTCCCACAGGTGACCCTCACAGGTGACCCACAGAGGTGACCCTCACAGGTGACCCTCACAGGTGCCCTTACAGGTAAACAGGGAGGCCGCGGACGAGGCCAGGGAGCTGAGCGCCTTCCTCATCCCTCCCCGGGGTGGGGCCGACTGTGGGGTGGGCGGGGGCTTCTCCCAGCACCGACCCTGCAGCAGCCGGGCCACCTGCGCCGCCCCTAAAGCCCCCACCCGCACCGGGACCGCGCCCCGCCCACCCCTCGGCTCTCCACCCCACTTCCAGGACTGTGCGTGGGGAAGGCGCGATGTGGCCTCGAGGAACCCACAACTGGGAACCGACGAGCCGCCCGTGCGTGTCGCGCACAAACCCCTCCGCAACCTTTCCCAACATGGCCAGAGTCCGTGGGAAGATTAAAACACGGGGTTCCCCTCGCGTCCTCCGACCCCGGGCGCGTTCCGGGGCGCCGGGCTCTCACCGAAGCGCAGCGCGCCGCTCCACTCGCTCCAGATCCGGTTGCGCAGGTGGCGGACCCGCACGCGCACGGTGCTCTCCGTCCTCGCCTCGGACCCGGGCACCACGTACACGTTTCGGTCTTGTCCTCTCTGGAAAACCTTTACAGGGACAGAGAGAAGAGGACCGGGTGTCGGGGACCCGCGTGCCGCGTGGGGAGGCGGCAGGGAAGCGCAACCGCGCCGCGCTCTCCAGGCCCTCCAGCACTGGGACTTGGGCGCCGCCTCCGCCTCCTCTCTGGGGGCCCCGCGGGTGAGGACCTCACGGTTGTAAGACAAGAGCTGTTCCTGCGTGCGCCACATCTGGGCGGTGCGCCCACCGCCCCTGGCGAGCCCTGTGGTTGTCCCGGTTCTGCACAAAGGACGCTGGGCCGCTGGGCTCGAGCCCCGGTTTGCGGCCGCAGAAGAGCCTCCGTGTGCGTAAAATCCCGTGCGTAAAATCCCGTCTCGTGCGTAAACACCGCGCACTTCTCCCCGTGGACTCTGGACTCTGAAGCCATCTCCCCGGGGGCCACCTGAGGGGCAGAGGTGGGCTGGGGGCTGAAGACACGGTGCAGAGATGCCACTGGCCCCAAAGGGGAGACCCCAGTCCTAGGGCACCACATCCGCGCTCGGCGGTCGCTCAGACATCAGGGGGCGCAGGTGAGGCCCAGAGAGGAAAGGTATCTCCCCAAGGCCGGCTTCCAGAGATGCCTTCAGACAGGTTTCCAATGCTTATTCTCTTCTCCCACCTCCCCGAGGGCGGAAGCAGCACCACCTAGCACCTGGCACCAGGTGGCAGGCCCGTGTCCCCTCCCCGAGTCCTGAGATGCAGGTCTCCCCCTACCTGGGGAGCTGGATCAAGCCCCACCTGCAGGTAGAGAACATTGCTGCCCTTCAGTGTCCCAGGGAAAGTTCACCCCCGTAGGTGTCTTCTCAGGGGAGGCCATAAAAAAAAGACCACAAACTGGAATTCACAGGAATCGGCTCTTCTCCCCGTTTTGGAGTCTGGGGGGACGGCGCCGTTTGAGGTAGGGCCTGCCCTCAATCCGGGCTGCTCTTGTCTTGGGGTCCTTCACTTGGTGATGTCTGCCAAGACCCTCTTTCCAAACAAGGTCCCCGTCTCAGGGTCCAGGTGGACGTGAGTTTTGTGGGGACCCGGTGTGCAACCCACCACGACGCTTGAGCCGAGATGGTCCGAATTGCCCGCGTAGACAAAGGGTGTTGCTCTACCCACAGTGTAGACGGTGACCCCCCAGCTTGAGCTGAGTCAGGGGCATTCAAGAAAACCACGGCTTCTCGGCGAGGCTTGTGGTGCCCGCTCTCTGGCTCTGTGGTACCCCCCGCTCCCCCGACTGAGCAGTTCTACCTGGTGAGCCCCAAACTTTGACACGACCCGGGCACGGCACGTCATAGACAAAGAAAGGGATACTAACCGGGTCTTTCTTTGGGGAGCCGCCCTGTGTATATAAAAAAACAAAAGACAGCAGAGTTAAGGTGGTGAGCGACTCATTGTTCACCGTTGCGCCCAAAATGTGGGGGGGACCCACCCAGCACCCCAGAGTTAGCGTGAAGGTGGTCGTTTCGAGCTGAGAACATTTGAGATTCGACAGGTGCAGAAAGAAGTCTTCTTGGGGCTCCCTTTGTCTGAATAAAAGCAGAGAACTTTGGAGAATGAGGGTGATGTCCGTCCCATCTTTGGGACAACCTCACTCCCAGGAAGGAGGGAAACCACCTCAAATTCCAGCCCCAGGGGAATTTTGTGGCCATTAAAAAAAAAAAACAAAAACATAGAAAAGGCCACAAACAAACACCGTCACAAACTCTCTCATCTCCCCTTTGTTCTGCTCGAGATTTGCTTGTCCTTCCTGAAGAAACCCGTGGGTCCTTCCTATAGACGAGCTTTCTCTGCCCGCCCCATCCTGTCCCCGATTAAGGAAATCATATAAGCCCCCCAACTTTACCCATTTTAGAAGCCACTCCCTTTGTGAGCTCCGGTAGACATAGGAATGAACTCGGTGGGGTTTTTCTCTCTTGCTAATCCGCCTTTTGTCAGTTTAATCGACAGCCCTCCGTCAATTAAATTGACGTCAATTAAATCCGTTTAATTGACGGCCCTCCATGAGGGAACTTAGGAGGGAAGGCAACAGCTCTTTCTCCCAGGGGCGACTGTTCCTTTCTGGGGAATTTGCCTCTGGTGGGCAGGTTTGGGGACGCAGAGAGCCGCGGTGGCAGGTCCTTCTGCGCCAGGGAACTTCCACATGTCCAGTAAGGAGCGGACGGCTCAGGCCCACCCCCGGTCAGCCTCCCACGGGGACTTGCCGAAGTAGCATGTGAGGCCCGAGGAGACGGCGCCAGTGCAGGTTTCTGCCGTAGAGCAGCTGCACCCCTGCTCCCGTGCTCCCGTGCACCTGTGCTCCCGTGCACCTGTGCTCCCGTGCACCTGTGCTCCCGGGGCCGGACAGAGAGGGCTGCACACCTGGGTGTCCTGGGCAGGGAGGACGACAGTCCAACAGCCCTGTCAGGTTATGGCCCCGGCTGCAGGGGAAGGTGGTGTAGGTGTGTCCTCAGCTGAGGTGTCGGCTGGGCCGGGCACGGGGAGGGGCGCTGGGCAGGCCGGGCCGCCGAGCGTGGACGACAAGGTGGGCAGGGTCAGTGAGGATCGACTGAGGAGCTCACAGAGGGTCACCTGTGTGGGGTCACTTGTGTGGGGTCACCTGAGTGGGGTCACCTGTGTTATCACCTGTGTGAGGTCACCTGTGTGCAGGCATCTGTCTGAGGTCACCTGTGTGAGGTCACCTGTGTGAGGTCACCTGTGTTATCACCTGTGTGAGGTCACCTGTGTGGGGTCACCTGTCTGAGGTCACTGGCATTATCACCTTTGTGGGGTCACCTGTCTGAGGTCACTAGTGTTATCACCTGTGTGAGGTCGCCTGTGTGTGGTCACTTGTACAGGGTCACCTATGTGAGGTCACCTGTGTGGGGTCACCTAAGGTCACCTGTGTTATCACCTGTGTGAGGTCGCCTTTGTGTAGTCACTTGTATGGGGTCACCTGTGTGTAGTTACCTGTGTGAGGTCACCTGTGTTATCACCTGTGTGAGGTCGCCTGTGTGTAGTCACTTGTACAGGGTCACCTGTGTGAGGTCACCTGTGTTATCACCTGCGTGGGGGCAGCTGTGTGAGGTCACCTGTGTATAGCTACCTGTACAAGTTCATGTGTGTAGTCAGTCACCTGAGGGACCTGTGTGGGGTCACGTATGTGAGGTCCTGTGTATGAAAGACCTGTGAGGTTACCTGTCTGTGGCACCTGTGTTATCACCTGTGTGTGAGTCACCTGTGAAGAACCAGCATGACATCACCTGTGCGTTGTCACCTGTGTGAGGTCGCCTGTGTGTAGTCACGTGTATGGGGTCACCTGTGTGTAGTTACCTGTGTGAGGTCGCTTGTGTGAGGTCACCTTTCCGAGGTTACCTGTGCTATCCCCTATGAGTGAGTCACGTGTGAAGAGCCAGTGTGAGGTCGCCTGTGTGTAGTCACGTGTACGGGGTCACCTGTGTGAGGTCACCTGCGCTGTCACCTGTGTGAGGAAGGGGCAAGGCTACCCAGTGGGCAGCGCCAGATACAGATTCCCGGAGCCACACTCAGGGCTCTGGACTCCACCCCAAGCCCCAAACCAGACCTCTAGGACGGGCGCCGAGCAGCGGACGGACACGGCCTCATTTCTTTTTCCTTCCTTTTTCCTTTCCTTTTCTTTTCTTTTTTGAGACAGAGCCTCGCTCTGTCACCCAGGCTAGAGTGAGTGCCGTGACGTCAGCCTCGCTCACAGCAACCTCAGACTCCTGGGCTCAAGCGATCCTCCTGCCTCAGCCTCCCAAGTAGCTGGGACTACGGGCACGCGCCACCACGCCCGGCTAATTTTTTCTATTTTTAGTAGAGACGGGGTCTCACTCTTGCTCAGGCTAGTCTCGAACTCCTGAGCTCAAGCGATCCTCCCGCCTCAGCCTCCCACAGTGCTGGGATGACAGGTGTGAGCCACCACGCCGGCCACGACCTAATTTCTGTGTTAAAATCTCTGTGCAGCTGAGCGCCACACCTGGGCGGGCGCTGGGCTCCCCGCGGGCTCCCAGGACCCTGCTGTGCCTGACGCCAGGGTGTGGAGAGGGCGGGGCCACCCCGGACAGGTGCAGGAGGACAATCGTGGACGGCCTGCCGGAGAGGGATTCCCCATGGCAGAGCCTGGATCCTTCCTCCTCTTCCTCCTCCTCCTCCTCCTCCTTCTCTTCCTCTTCCTTCTCTTCTTCCTCCTTTTCCTCCTCTTCCTCCTCCTCCTTCTCTTCCTCTTCCTCCTCCTTCTCTTCTTCCTCCTCTTCCTCCTCCTCCTTCTCTTCTTCCTCCTCCTCTTTCTCCTCCTCCACTTCCTCCTCCTCCTCCTTCTCCTCCACTTCCTCTTCCTCCTCTTCTTCCTCCTCCTCCTCTTCCTCCTCCTCTTCCTCCTCCTCTTCCTCCCCCTCCCCCTCCCCCTCCTCCTCCAGCTCAGTGACAGGTCCCCAGGGGGGGAGCGCCAGGACCGCCCATGCCCAGCCGGGATACCCGTGGACATTATTAACATCCCTCGTTCACCCGCGAGTATTTACCGAGCACCTGCTACTGCTGCTTCCCAGCCCTGCGGGCTCCGTGGAGCACCACCCGGGAAGGCCCCTGCTCCCGGGAACGAGCCTCCCGCAAGGTGACAGACGGAACATGAACAAACTAAACCCACAGGAGCCAGGACATTTCGGGCAGTGACAACCTCAGAGCAGGGCCGGGGAGAAACCAAGGCGAGGTGACGCGGGGGACTCGAAACAGATCGAGGACCTCCACGGAGGAGCTGATGCAGGGGCACTCTTACTTACGTGAGAACACGGGCGCGGGCGTGACTGTCACGCCTTGCGTTAGGCGGTGGTGGCCCAGGTGTGACGCTCCAAGCACAGGTCACAAAAGAAAAATAGAGCAATGGGATTCATTGGTAGTATTGTAAGTCCACGGAACTCACGTGGCAAAGAGAAGCTAAGAAACAGAGAACCGGCCGGGCGTGGAGGCTCATGCCTGTCTTCCCAGCACTCTGGAGGCGACGGCGGGTGGGTGGATTGCTCGAGGTCAGGAGTTCGAGACCAGCCTGAGCAAGAGCGAGACCCTGTCTCTACTAAAAATAGAAAGAAACTAATTGGCCAACTAAAATACGTATACTGTTTAGAAAAAATTAGCGGGCGTGTGGCGGAATTTAGTGCCACAGCTAACCTTGGGGCGGAGGAGTCGAGGCAGGAGGATCGCTTGAGCCCAGGAGTCATCGAGGTTTCTCGTGAGTGAGGCTGACGCCACGGCACTACACTCTAAGCTGGGCAACACGTGGAGCTGCGCCGACGCTGCTGGTGCTGTGCTCTCAAAAAAAAAGTAAAGAATGTGATGCAGAAAAAAAAACAAGAAAAAGAAAATGGGATCAATAAGAAAGAGAAATAAGAAAAAAAAAAAAAGAAAAAGGAAAAGACAAAAATTTGGCTTTAGTTTTTATAATAATATGTGTTTCTTTTTTTTTTTAATTGTTATTATTAAAGAATAAAAGTTGTAATAATTTCAATGTGTTGGAACGGAAAAGAAGAGGAGAAAGGTGAAAGAATTAATAAAGAGAAAAGAAAAGAGAAAAAGAAAAGAGAAGAGAAAAAAGAAAAAGAAAAATAAGAAGAAAAGAATCAGAGACACAAGAATGAGAAAAGAAAAGAAAAGGAAAAAGAGAAAAAAAGGAAAAGAAGAAAAGAAAGAAAAGTGCGGATAGAGGAAACTGGAAGAAAACGGAGAAAAGAGAAGAAGGGGATGGAGAAAAGAAAAGACCAAGAAAAGAGAAAAATGAAAAAAAAAGGAAAATGAAGAAAAGAGATAATGAAAAGAAAAATAAGAATCAAGAAACGAGAAAAAAGAAGAGAAACCGGAGTGAAAGTGCAGGGAAAAATGAGAAAGAATTAAGAAGAGGAAAAGAAAGAAGAAGTGAAGAGAAGAGGGCACAAACAGAAAAGACAGAGGCAAAAACGAATCGTGTGACGGAGAGATGAAGGGAGAAGTGTGTCACAGGGGGAAACGAGAATTGGGGGTAGAGAGCATATGATGGTGGCGTCCCTGAGTGAGTGGGGCGTATAAAAAAAGGAGCGGTCGAACGGGGCGAGGGAGGAAGAAAAGAAAAAAAAAGAAAATGAAGTAATTGAGAACAGAGAAGGTAAGAATACAACAACAATAAAAAGAAGAAAGAAAGAGAGAGGTGAAAAAGGATGAAAAAAGAAAAAATGTGTATAATAATGGTTTGTTTTTGTTGTGTTGTTTTGAGGAGAATGTCGGTAGAGAGAAAGGAAGGGTGGAACGAGAAAAGAGAAAAGAAAGACAAGAGAAAGGAAAAGAAAAGAGAAAAAAGAAAAAAGAAAAGAAAAAGAAAGAAAAGAGAAAAGAACAAAAAGAATAGAAAAGAGAAAAAGAAAAAAGAGAAAAGAGAAGAAAAGAGAAGAGCAAGAAACGGGGAATAATTCTCCGGAGGAAACAGTGGCCGTGCCGTGGGTGAGGCCGAGACCCCTCAGGGCTTGCGGGGAGGCCCCCGGGCGTGGCCCCGCACAGGTGTGAGCGGGCACTCACCTTCCCCTGCAGGTCCAGCTCGTAGCACAACACGTGGCTGGCCAGGTCGAACCTGGTCTCGGGGTTGTCCCAGCGGATGACGAGGCGGGAGCCGTCGAAGCTGGCCGAGAGGTTGGCCGGGGGGTCGTACCTCTCTGGGGCGAGACCGCGAGCAGGGCCGTGAGCCGTTACGGTCCGCGGCGGCCTCGTCCCGTGTGCCGTGGAAACGGTGCCCGCGCGGTTGGGGCCCGCTCGCCTTTCCCACACTTTTACGCTTTTCGTGGGCGACGCCGTCGTCGTTTAAGCCGCGCCCGGCCGCCAAGCGTGGTGCTGAGATGCTGCGTCCCGCTCTTAAGTGGGGCAGAAAGGCACCTCCCCACACGGCCCACGTTGGCGTGTGCGGATTATTTTGGGCCCCGGGGCGGTGGAGAAAGAACAGGCGTGCAAAAAGAAAGCATTCCTGCAACTTCTCTTACCTGACTAACACCGGAAACTTCCGAGGAACGGGGACTGCCGTGCATCTCCTCTCTGGGGGATTTTTACGGCCGTGGAGATGGGCGGGTGTGTGCGCACACACAAACCTCACTGACTGAGCCCTTGCCGTCCGTTAATTTCCCTCGCACAATCGACTGCCCTTAGAAGCTCAGCACCACTCTTTTTTTTTTTTTTTTTTGGTCTAGTGACTTTCCCACAATTCAGTGCCCTTTGCTAAAAAACGGCACATAAGCCCCGCGTGTAGCCACTTCTCGGGGAGTTTTCGCGCCCTTCCTAATCCAAGCCGCCACCACGCATGAACACAGCAAGAATTAAAATGAAACGTGTGTGCTTTTCTTCCCTCGACCCGCCTTCCGTCGGTTTAATTTGCAGGTGCCGGGTACAGCACCTCACAGTGTTGAAGAGGGTTTTTATCCCCTCTCCGTTCCCTGCGTTCCTTGGAAGGGTGTGAGCCTTGCACCTGTCCATCTTCCCTCACCAAGGGAGGCTCCTGGCCTCTCTTCCTCCCTGCCCTGGGTACAGGTACATTCCCGGACCCTGAATCGAGACCTGCTCGGGCCGGCCCCGCACCTGGCACCCCCGTGGCCCCCCGCCTGGGACGAACCACAGCGCCGTGAAGCCAGACAGCCCCCCAGGTGGGAGGACCGCGTGGCGGGAGGTTATCGTACCCATGTTGACGGCCACGAACGGGGTAAAATCCACGAACTGCACCGCCCCGTCTTTGCTGGTTCCGTTCAGCAAGAAGAAGTAGTTGTCCGTCCTCTTGGGCTCCCCGAGCCGGTCGAAGTGGCAGCCCACGCGCGTCCCCATCGAGTCCGTCAGGTAGTGGACGCATTCCTTCTCCTCGGCGTCCCTGGGACACCCAAGGAAGGGCCCGTGGGTGTGTCCCCTTGGGGAGGCGGGACGGACCCCCCTAAACCTTCACTCTGACCCCCCAAAAAACCCCTCCACAAAGGGGTAGAAGAGAAAAGAAACCACGGTATCATCGCAGATTATGAATCCCGCCAAAGAGGCCGCAAAGACGGTAAAAAAAAGAAATCCCCTCCCGTGCATAGACCTTCTCGGATACAGCCCGCCCCGCGTTCTCAAGCTACGGCCGCCCGTCTGGTCTCATCCCTCGAGGCCCCGAGGTGGGTTCGGGGCTTGGAGCCCGGCGAGGCCAACTGAGGCAGGTCTGTCTCCTCCCCCCACCCCGGGCAAACAGGAGCGGCGTGGAAGGGTCCTCGAGATGTAACGGCAGCAGGGGGTTCACGGAGAGCAGGAAGCCGTCTCTGAACGCCTCTCTCCCCACTTCTCCTCTGAAGGCGCTCCCGGACCAGGTGCCTGCCCCATGACACGGGTCGCGGCCCCGTAGCCAGAGGGAAGGAGCGGCTGTAACGCAGGAGACGCATACGGAGGATCTGGATGGGGAGCGAAAGAAAATCGTAGAGCCAGTCCCGCTAACACAACATCACAGCGACAACGAGGCACGGAGCGCAGCACACGGACGCAGCAGCGGACTGAGGGACCCCCCCAGGCGCTGCCAAGGAGCCCTAAAACGAGAGTTGCGTGGCAGGAGGAGGGAGGAGCTCACGACCGGCCCCCGTCGACACCCTTCCTTCTTGGGACAGCCTTGGGTGACTCACGGACAGCTGAGTCCGCAAGCACGCCTGCACGGGGTTCCCCCTTCCCCCAGTGACACGGAAATACGGGTGCCGGGGGCGTTGCTCTGATGAAACAACTCGCCTGTATCGTGAAAAACAGCCCAAGCCGTTGCACAAAGCGGCCACGCTTCAACCAATTACAAGTTACAGCTTTAAACGGCAGCCTGTGAAGGCGTGAAGCCCCCCTGCTCTCGAGAGCGGCCCACCGTAGTTGCTCAGACCCGACGCCGCGCCCACGTATTGAGGCGACGCGGGGCCTGTGACCCCCGCGTGCTCCCGAAAGGCCGTGAGACCCAACCGACCGCGGCGCGACGCCAGTGCCCCTCGCTCAAGGCGTCCCGGGCGGTGGCTCGGGGCCGTGGCCCTCCGGTCTGGCTCAGAATAAACCTGCTGACATTATTATGTCACAGCGTTTTTGGCTCCTTTTCCGGGGACACGGAACAGAGCCTGCTAAGCTCACCCCCGAGATGTCACTGACCGACCGCACCCTCGTGCCCTCCCCGGTCATGTTTCCCCACACGGGAATCCACCTCTCCCTGAACCGGGCGTAAAACCCACGCAGGCGCCCCGCTTCTCCAGGTCTCTGTTTCCTCGCGGGGCGGGGGGGGGGGTCTCCCACATCCGTAAAACGTATCGACCTTTTGCACTGGGATGTCGAGAGTGACTCAACATGGCTAGCAAAAATTATAGAGGTTAAAATTACTCTTTGAGGCCAGGCGCTGTGGCTCACGCCTGTAATCCTAGCTCTTGGGAGGCCGAGGCGGGCGGATTGCTCAAGGTCAGGAGTTCAAAACCAGCCTGAGTTAGAGGAGGGAGGACCCATCTCTACGGTATAATAGGAAAGAAACGTTACTTGGGCCAGACTCGGAATAGTAGTACTATAAGAAAGAGTTGAGGCGCGGGCGCATGGGTGCAGTGCCTGTAGTCCCAGCGTACTCGGAGCTGGGCGAGGAATTCGCTTGAGCCCAGGAGTCTTGGAGGGTGCTGTGGCGTAGGTGACGCCACGGGACTCACGCTGCTAGCCTGGCAGACAGAGGAGACGTCATGTCTCAAAAAAAAAAAAAAGTTCTCTTTGGAAGTGTAGTCGATATTTGGAATATACAAGATACAATAAATAGTTCGGTCATGAAAGAAGAACTCCAGTTGTTTTTTGTTTCTTTTTTTTTGCGCAGGAGTCTCACGTTTGGTTTCCGCGGGCGGGGTTGAGGTGCGGAGGTGCGGTGGCGTCACGGGCCGTCGCTCCACAGCAACCTCGAGCACTCTGGGTCAAGCGAGTCTCTGCCTCAGCCTCCGAGTAGCTGGGACTGCAGGCTGACCACCGCGCGCCCGGCTAATGTTTCTTCCAATAGGGTATATTATTAGTTGGCCAATTAGATTTCTTTCGTATGTTTATGGTAGAGACGGGGTCTCGCTCAGTTGCTCAGCTGTTTGGAAGTCCTGAGGCCGCGGAGGGATACCGCGCGCGAGAGGCCTCCCAGGGGGTGCGGAGGTAGGCAGGGGCGGGTGGGAGGTCACCGGCGGCCCGGGGGGTCGCGAGTGGTGGTTGTTTGGTGGTGCGCACGTGGGTGTGTAAAGTCTGGGGTATTTTAGGAAAATTAGGAATCGGCCGAGTAGGGAGAAAGAGTGAGACAGAGAAAAAGAAGCAGCGCAGCACAAGGGTGTAAAACTAATCTGCAGGCCTTTCACGGGCTGCGTGTTGCTCAGTTTTAGTTTGTGTTGTTTAAGTGTGTAGTGGTTGTTGAGCGGGCGGGTCGACGTGTGGGTTGCGGGCGCGGTTAGAGTGCCGTGATCGGCGTCCCTCACAGCAACCTCAGGGGAAGCTGGCCTGGGTTCAGGATCAGAGTCGGCGCTCGCGCGCTGCGCGGCCCGAGGTGCTGGGGAGTGAGGCGAGCATGCGGACACCGGAGTGCCGGGGCGGCGCTAATTTTTTTATTTATCAGAGTAGAGCGGGGCTTGGCTGGTCTGTTGCGCCAGGGCTAGGTGCTCGAAAACTCGGGTGACCGTCAGCGATCTGCCTGGCCTGCAGTCGCTCGCGCGAGTAGCTGGGACTGAGAGCATGCCGGCCGACTGTGCCCGGCTAAGTTTTTCTAATTTTTGTAGAGACAGGGGTCTTGCTATGTTGCCCAGGCTGGTCTCAAACTCCTGACCTCCAGCCATCCTCCTGCCTCAGCCTCCCGAGTAGCTGGGACTACAGGCTCGCACCACCTTGCCTGGCTAATTTTTTCTATTTTTAGTAGAGACGGGGTCCTGCTATGTTGCCCAGGCTGGTCTCGAACTCCTGGCCTCGAGCGATCCTCCCTCCTCAGCCTCCCAGAGTGCTGGGATTGCAGGCGTGAGCCGCCTTGTCTCGGTGGGTTCCAACTTGAGGACCAGCGGGACACCCTCCTAAGGTTCAGGAAACCTCCCCGCACCCCACCCCACCGCCCACGCGCCCCCCGCGCGGACGGCGGCCACTTACGCGCTGTCCCAGGAGTACAGCCGGTACCGCACGTTGGCGGGCGCGGCGGGGCCGGGCGCCCAGCTGCAGTTCATGAAGCGGACGGCGTAGATGAGGCAGGAGAAGTTCACGGCCGCGGTGCCTTCCCTGCCGTGTTTCTTCGCTCACACGGACGACACAACAGCGGGTTGTGCAGGACGCCCTGCGTCAGGCCGACGCCA